TCCTGAGGCGCCCGCTCGAGGCAAGCATGGGTGCGATGCCCAACAGCCAGTGCCTGTTCATGCGGAACAAGAGGTACTGTCCGTCCCAACTCTGGGCGTGCAGGGTAGAGGACCGACCCGCTCGTGGCATCGAGGCACCGAGCATCGAATTCAAGGTTTTTTCTCTGCGCCTCTGGCCCCTCCTGGGCTCCGGCCAAGAGGTGGCCAGGCAGTCTGAGCCAGTTGGGCCCCGAGGAAGGCGGTCAAGACGGGGGGAATGAAGACAAATCCATTCAAAATCGGTTCCGCAATTTTTCATCCCCGATCCGCCTTTGACAGCCCCGGGGCCAGAAAACGGCCCCAATCAGATCAAACAGAAACAAGAAAAAACAGTCCAGCACCTCGAACCTGCCCCCCCTTTCTGCTTGCCGGAACCAAGGCTGGGCCCCAAACCTCCAACGAATTGAAAACTTCAATACGGAAGGTTTTCACAGATTTCGGCTGCCGAGGCCCTCGCAAGGCCCCGCGACGGTCAGAAAACGACTCAGTAGAAAAAGCCGGCCTTGGGGAAAGGGTCTGGACTTCCAGGGATCCCGTATTGAAAAAACAACATCGGATCTCTGGAGCCATTTCAGTTGGCGGCGCGCACAAGGGGGTAGGGGGAGGGAGGAAGGCTTCTTAGAAGGAACATGCTTCGTAGAAGAGGCGCCGGCCCTGCATCTGTAGACAAGGCCCGCGCCTTCTGAGAAACAGCTCTCTCTTCCCCTCCCCCCTACCTCCCTTCTGCGCGTGGCTGAGTAGCCACCTCCAACCCTCAGCCGACTCCAAGCCCAAGCAGGCCCCTGGAAGCCTCTCTGGAGGCCTCCGCGGAGATCTCCGGGCCCGGGGCTGCAGGCCCCTCGGTCGCCTCCGCTCGGGTGCTGCCAGGGCTGCCAGGTGCAACCCTCCCCCCCCCTCCCAAGACATTGTTGTCTCGTGCCCTGGACAACAAATCGGCAACGACCACCCTCCCCGGACATGTAACGTCCTGAAAAATCTGGACGAGCGTTCTTCGTAGTTTGCGGCCCTTTGGGGCCCTCGCCGGCCCCGGGACCGTCAAAGAACGACGCAAATGTCGAGACTTCTGGAGACGGCGCACCGAAGAAATTCAGACGTCGTATGTATGGAGCCGAGGATCATATACCCGCTCCCCCAGTGTGCAGGCACCCCACTTCGAGGCCCCCGATCCTGTCCGGCAGGAAGCGCACGTGCAAGCCCGCCTGCCACAGCCCAAACCTGCACCGCCAGGGAACTTACACATCCACAGTTGCTGGGAGTCCTGGGCTGGATCCCAAGATATACGGTGGACACGATGACACGTACTAAAATTTTACTACTACAATGGATACCTACGTACATAGAAAACTGATCGGGGACACCTACGGGCGTGGCTGGGGAGGCTGATTAGGGAGCGCCCCAGGAAGGTCCAAGGCGGCCCCAGATGGCCCCAAGACGGCCCCGGAGGGCCCCAGGAGGCCTCAGGAGGGCCCGATGAGCACCCCAAGACGACCACGATGGACCCAAGATGGCCCAAGATGGCCCAAGATGGGCCCAAGATGGGCCCACAATGGCCACTCGACAGCCCAATGGGCTCTCCAGATGGCCCCTGGGAGGCAAGAATCATAGGTTTTCCTGCGGTTCCGGTGCCATGTTCGCATACTCGGCTTCTCGGTCTCTAGGGCGCTCGAGACGGCTGAAGAGGCCCCCGAGATCGCCCCAAGATGGCACAATGGGCGCCCAAGAGGGGCCCAAGACGAGCCCAGGACGGCCCAAGAAGAGCTCAAGATGGCCCCAAGACGCTCCAAGAGGGGCCCCGAAGGGGCTCCAGACGACCCAGGAGGGCCCGAAGACAGCCCAACTGGGTCCCGCTGCCACCACAGAACAGCCTCAAGAGGCCCCCAAGATTGCCCTGAGGGACCAAGGCGCCCCCAGAGGGCCCCAAGACGGCCCAAGAAGCCCCCAAGGCGGCCTGAAAACGGCCTCGAGACCCCGAAGAGGGCCCACTCGGGACCCTGCATTCGTACGGCGATGCTCTGAGCATGCATACATACATACATTCATGCATGCAGACAGACAGCCAGACAGACAGACAGACAGACAGGCAGGCAGGCAGGCAGGCAGACAGACAGACAGACAGACACAAACACTGACAAACAGACATGCACACATAAAGACACACATACGTAGATGCATGCATGCATACATACCTACATACGTACGTACGTACGTACGTACGTACGTACATACATACATACAGACAGACATGCATGCATGCATGCATGCATACATACATACATACAGGTATGCATGCATGCACACATACGCAAATGCATGCATACATCAGTATAATTTCATACACCTTCACATAGACACACACACACACCTACACACATGCATGCATACATGCATACATACATGCATACATACGCATGCATACATGCATACATACACACATACATATATATGTACATATAGATATAAACATACATACATACATGCGTACATACAGACATACATGCACACGCATACATACATACCGACATGCAGGCATACATGCATGCATCCATACACACAGGCATATATATGTACATACATACATAAATACACACACAGACCTACACCCATACACATACACATCCACTAACCCACATACACCTGTACACATACATACAGAACGACAGTCAGACATGCCTACATGCACAGATGCATGCATGTACGCATACCGCAATACATTCATGCATGCACACATGCCTATACATGCATGCATACACACATTCATGCGTGCACACAAACATACACAACTACATACATACACACAGGCATACATACGCAACTGCCTATATTAGGTACACGCATGCATACACACATTCACACACATAAACACGTACAGACAGCCATACATACAGACCTACAGGCAGACAGACAGACAGGCAGACATGCATGCATACACAGGCACACGTACACATATACACATTTACATAGATGCATACCTGGATACCTAACTATCTGCGCACATATACATATATATATATACACATGCACATACATACGTACATACATACATACAGACATGCATGCATAGACATACATACATACATACATAATTACACACGTGCACGCCTACATGCATATACACATTCACGTATGCACACCTGCATGAGTGCAAGCAGATCTGCATACTTACCACGTACACACATACATACATACACGCATACATAAACACATGCATGCATCCACGCATAAATATGTACATACAGAATGACAGACAGGCATACGTACATACATACATACGTTTACACAGATGTGCATGCAGGCTTATTGACGCACGTAGGCGCGTACGTACGTACAAACCTGTACGCATACATACATAAATACATACATACATACATACATGCATACATACATACACACACATACATACACGTGTACATACATACATGCATGGAGAGGGGGAGACTGTTGCTTGGTTTTACTCTCGATAGCGCCAGTGACTGGCCCCGCCCCTCCCCCTAATTGTAGATTGGGGGATGGGGGGGGGAGCGAGCACGAAACGTCGATCACACAACGATGTCGGATGTCGCGAGCACCAGGTGGTGCAACATTTTGTCGATGTACCGTAAACATATACATGTGTATATATATATATACAGATATAGACATATATATATAAAATTTTATATATATATATATATATATATATATATATATGTATGTATGGGGGGGGGGGCGTGTGCGCGTGTGTTTTACACTGTAAACGCGTGTGCGGACGACACCCCGCCCGCAGGGGCGGGCAGACATCCTCGTCCACTGCTCCCTCCGACGGGGCCCTCGAGATCCCCGGGCGCGAACTCCCAAAAAGGGGCGGGACCGCGGGACCCAGACCTCCGACGACCTGACATGCGTGTGTTCGAGACTCGGGGCCTCTTACCTCTCGGGAGGTGGGGCTTGCTTCGCTCGGGAGGTCCCGAGCGAAGTGAACCCCACCTCCCCCTTAGAAATCATGGGGAAATGGGAACCCCACCTCCCCCTTAGAAATCATGGGGAAATCCTATTCCCCATGCCCTGCGTCTTATCCTGAGCCGTCTTGCTGGCGGCCCTGGGGCCCAAAAGCGACCTCCAGAGCCGGAGGCTTGGAAATGGGCACCAACACCAAAACAGGGGGAGCGTCCACCGAGGGAGGATGATCGTAGATTTTGGTGTTGGTGGTGATGGTTCGGCCACTTGGGAAGCCCCAGTATCACCACCATCACCAAGATCGGGATCATCGTACCTCGGTGGAGGCACACCGCCGATATTGGTGTTTGGTGTTGGTGCCAACCTCTGGGCCTCCGATCTTTACCCATGCCCGTCGTCTTATCCTGAGCCGTTTCGCTGGCGGCCCTGGGCCCAAAAGCGGCCTCCAGAGGCCGAAGGTGAGGACAGCGTCAGACTCCAAGCTTTCGAGCCTCCCGCGGCGTCTGCGGAGGGACAAGAAGGTACCGATGCCGCTACTCCCTGGACCTCTCCCCGGGGGTGCTCTCTGACCAGAATCTCGAGGAGAGCCCAGCCGTGCCGACGAGGGCTCTCCAGAACGAGCACCGCGCTGCTCAACTGCCACCATACGCCACAAGCAACCCGCAGCGTGTTGACACGGAGCTCAACACGTAGACTGAAAACGTAAGTCTGACGCGACGAGTTCGCCAAGACGTGGACCACCACGTGCCGAGCCAACACGCAGCGTGTCTACCACGGACGCTTTGAACACGGCACGTGCTGCGTTTTTCAGCACGGGCCCATCAGAGCAGCTGGGCCGCGCGGGTATCGGCATCGTCTCTCCTCCTCTGGGCCCAGGGGGCGTTCCGCTAGCGCCCCGGCGGCGGGAGACCTCCCGAAGATCTGGTGCTGCGCGCCCGGGGGCCAGGCGGTCACCGTGCCCCAGGCGTCCAGGCACGGCGCCAGCACCAGCAGCCCCGCCGCCTGCAGCCCGAGCACCAGGCTGGCCGTCAGCGTGGCCTGCGCGTGGCAGGGCCCGGCCTCCTGCGGCTGCGCCTCCCGCTGCCGTGCCTCCTGCACGCGGGGAGTCTGCGACGCGCGCGAGGGGCCCCAAGGGAAGGAGGGACCTTTGGTGCGCGACGCTCCGTGGGGCCGCGGGAAGGCCGAACCAGAGCGCGCCAGCCGCTGCGCTCGCATCGCGTTCCGCCGTCTGGGGATCCCCCGGTGTGCCCGCACCAAAGGGCAGAGCCGCCAGCACCACCCAAACTCCAGAGAATTTCGCTGGGGGCACTCCGTTCCTGGTGGCACTCCGTACTCAGGACCCTCAATCCTTTTCCATAGTTTCGGGACTTCCCTCTTCCCCTGCACTTCCCATAGTTTCCCTCGAATCGGCGTTTCTGTATGCTTGTGTCTTATTCCCCTTCCTGGATACGGGGTCCCCCGAGGTACCGGACCCTTGCCCCCAGGGCCGGCTCTTCGTCCAGGGACGGCCCCAGGACCCGTCGAAGAACCCCAGAGGCCGAAAACGGCCAAAAAAACCGTCAGCCGCGATCTGCTCACGACGCGGGCACGTCTGGGCACAACCTCCTGGGGCCCAAGATGGCTCTGGGAGTCCTGCGGCGGCGCCTTCCGCGAAGGCTGGTGCTGCTGCCGGCCGGGCCCCGCGGCGCCCTGGCCCCTGCCCGGCGGCACGCAAGGGTGGCACTCATGGCAGGCACACGCGATGAGAAAGCTAGCGACGCGAGGGCGACGCGATCACGGACTTCCTGGCGGACCTGCTGGCGCCGTGCTCGAGCTGGCTCCATGAGGGGCCACAAGAAGCGGCATACACTGACCGTAAACAGTGTGGAGGTCCGCGCGGAGTTCCTGGATCGTCGCTGGGCCCCCCTCCCCGATGCGCGGAGCGCACCCTCCAGCCGTGGCGACGAGAAGCCTCCAAGAGGCCCCAAATAAATATATATATATACATATATATATGCATATACGTATACATTAAAAGCAAAAAATGAAAACCGTCAGGGAGGGCAGCCATTGTCTCGACTGGCCCCCCTACGAAGGACAGTGCTGGGAGGGGGGGCCCTTATGGGCCCCGTGCCAGAGGCCACTCTGGCGAAGGGTATGGTTAGGAGCTTTTGCTTCCGCGTTTCGCGGCGGCGGCCCCAGCGACACGCTACGCCCTACTAGCCGATGGCGTGTCGCTACACTCCACGGAGCGGAGGGCTGGGAAGAGCGCGTGACGTTGACGCCTCGGGGGACGAGGACGGCGCTGGGCGTGTCGCGCCGAAGCGCGGTGGGCCAGACCAGGCGGCGCGACACGCCCAGCGCAAGCTCCTGACCGCAAGTCTTCGCGCGCAGCCGACCTGTCGCTGACGCGGAGGGCGAGGACGGGCGCTCGAGCCTTGACCTGGTGAGGGGCAACGATGGGTGGGCCGGGCTCCGGGGGGGACACCTCGGCCTCGATTCGGCGACACATCGTCGAGTTAGATCGGCGACAGGCCTCCGACAGTAAATCCGCACGGTCCTGGGCAGGTCGGGGCTGTCGGGCCCCCTGTCGGCGATCAGTGGGCGATGGGGGGTCGCTGCATCCCCCCCAATGCCTATGGCCCCCCCCATCGCTGCCCCTGGCCTGGGCGATCAGCCGCTCGAGCTGGTCGGCGTCCTCCAGCACGCCGCCGAACAGCTGCCGGGTGCCGCAGCCCGCGCCCCGAAGGACCCACTGGAAGGCCGGCAGCCACGCCCTCGCCTGCTGGGCCGCCGCGGCCCGCTCGAGCTCCGGCGACGCCCCGTGGAGCCTGGAGTCGGCGGCGAGCCCGGGGGGGAAGTGAGAAGAGGGGCGGGCCTTCTCAGAAGGCTCAGAAGTCCCCCGGCCTTCTGAGAAGTTCTCTGCGCCCTCCCCGAAGACGCAGAACCCCCCTCATCAGGCGCGAGGGCTTCCGAGAGGCCCCGCCGCCTGCTGAGAAGGCCTTCTCCTTCTCGCTCTCCCCCCCGCTCGCCGCCGAGAGAGGAAGAAGAAACTGGATACTCAGAAGCTTTTCGGAGCTCCGCGGGGATGTCTCGGATCTGCGCAGGGCCCCTCTGGCGGGGTCTCGGGCGCCGCCCCTGGCGCGCTCCGCGGAGCGGGGAGGGGGGCCCAGCGACGATCCAGGAACTCATCGTGGACCTCCACACTGTTTACATTAAACTTATGCCGCTGCTTGTGGCCCCTCTCATGGAGCCAGCTCAAGTACGGCGTCAGCAGGTCCGCCAGGAAGTCCATGATCGCGTCGCCCTCCGCGGACGGCTCGTCCCTCCTGAAGGCGTCCAGGCGGCCGCGCAGGTCCTTCACGCACGTGGCGACCACCTCGTCATCGATGGCCCTTCCTGGCATCATTGACTCCCAGACCTGTTTCACGCCCGCGACGGCATTGCTGGGTACTTCAGGGCCCTCGCGATGAGACATCGGGGCGTGATCCTGCGTCAAGCGTCCTTCCAGGTCTGAGCTTGGGCGCCTGGGAACAGCAGCATCCTTGAAGCCTTAGCGCCAAAAGGCTGCGGAAAACTGATGAAATCGCGATCCTAGGCCCGTTACCTCTATGACATGTTAGCTGTGTCACCCACTGTCGTTCCACGCAGGTGGGGCCCTCAAATGCGGACGAGAAACCAGACAAGGGCGAACGGTAGTGGTTAAAGCACAGAAGGTCCACTGCATGTCAATTCTTTTGTTTTTGACGGACACCTTCACGACATGGCCAAGTGTTCGGCCACAATTCCGACTGCAGTGTGTACGGAGGGCTGAACTGCGTGAGCACAGCGGCGCTCTTGGCTGCTGCTGAAAACTGGGGGAGCAGGCGGAGGAAGGGGAGGGCGACGGCGACGAAGAGGACAACAACGACGTCGACCACAATAACGACCACAACCACGACAACGGCGGCAACGATGGCGACTGCGACCGACGACGAGGACAACAACGACGACAACCGCAACGACGACCACTACCACGACGAAGGTGGCGGCGATGGCGACAGCGACGAGGATAAGCTGCAGCATGGCGCGCTGCTGACGGAGAGGCCGCCCAAGCGCACTCCTCCTCCCTGTTTGTTCTCCTTCTCGTGTTCTGTCAATCGTCGTCATCCTCTCATACCCCTTTTATCTTCATGTTCTTTCTCCATCTCCTGCTCATTCCCCAGCCCATCACCCTCCAGCCATAGGAGAAGGCCAGGAGGAGGGAGAACGATAATGGAGGAGGAAGAGACGGAGGAGGAGGAGGAGGAGGAGGAGGCTGCCGAGGGGATGGAGGCTGAGAAGAAGGAGGAGGAGGAGGAGGAGGAGAATCGTAGTTTGAGGGTCGAGGCTCGAGGCTCGAGGATCGAGGTGGAGGAGGAGGGGGAGGAGGATCGAGCCGAGGGGGAGGAGGAGGAGGAGGAGGAGGAGGAGGAGGAGGAGGAGGAGGAGGAGGAGGAGGAGGAGGAGGAGGAGGAGGAGGAGGGGGAGAAGGAGGAGGAGCAGGAGGGGCGGAGGAGACGGAGGAGGAGTAAAGGGCGATCGACAGGCCCCTCCTCCCTGGAGTGGCACGAGAGACCGCAGACACCACAGGACACGTAAGGAAACACAGTCTTCTGAGGACATACCCCCCAAATGCCTCACTGGCCTCGGCCCTTTTCTGGAGGCCTGCCCGATGGGGTCCAAGAAAAAAAGGGGGTCCGAGGATCACACAGCATCACCGATGCATCGGCGCCGTCCTCGTGGAGAACATCGAGGCCCCACATCGCGCAGCATTACCGATGCATCGGCGATGCGGCGCGATCCATCGACCACGTCTACTCCGAGCCCATTTGAGAGGCCTGGATTCTTCCCCTGTCCACCTCCTGGAGGATCTCTCTTGGTCTCCATGAATTCTCTGTGGAGGTCTCCGGAAGTCCGTGGAGGCCTCCAGCGACGCCCCGAGGCCTTCGGAGGCAAGTAGGGAGGTAGAAACGTCCCAAAACCTCGCTCCTGGAACCTCGATCATCCTCCTCCTCCTTCCGCTCGGTCAGCCCGTCGGTGGGTCGACAAGAGCTGCTTTCAAACGAGGCCCGAATACATGACAGCGGCGATGGAAGAGCGGGGCAGCGCGAGAAGAAAGCAAGCGGAGAGAAGAAAAGGTGGCGATGCTCTGGAGGTCGGTGGGGGGGGGGTGCAGCGTTGTTTCCAGGGCCAGATCCCAATACGCTCGGCCGGCGTGCTTGATCCGTTACTAGCGTTCCTTACGACCCCCATTCGCAAAAAGCTGGAATCTTAGGTCTGCTCTTACAAACAATTGGGCTGATATTAGGTGTGCTCCTAACCCGACCGGCATAGTCCCATCCCCGTCGTCTCAGAAGCACAGACCGCGCTAGCTGCACCTCACTTCAAGCGATGCTCTTTCTTTTGAAAGCCGTCCTGACCAGTTTCTCGAGCAGCATCTCGCCGCGGCCACGAGCGAAGCTCAAAACCCCGATACGCAGACAGAGATCCTCCTCATCCTCTGGCGAGATGTGAAATTCGGGTTTCCTCGACCCTCGACCTTCGAACCTCGATCCTCCTCCTGCTCCTCCTCCTCATCCTATTCCTTCTCCTCCTCCTCCTCCTCTTCCTCCTCCTCCTTTCCGCGATGTTCCTCCTCCCCCTTCTCCTCCTCCTCCTTCTCCTCCTCCTCCTCTTCCTCCTCCTGCTGCTCCTCCTCCTCCTGGTCCTCCTGTCCCTCCTCCCTCCCTCCCTCCCTTCCTCCCTCCCCCCCCCCTCCCTCCCTCCCTCCTCCTCCTCCTCCTCCTCCTCCTCCTCCTCCTCCTCCTCCTCCTCCTCCTCCTCCTCCTCCTCCATTCTCTTTTCTTGGGAATAACTTCTCCCTGTCGCACCCTGAGGCCAGTATATAGGGCAGCCTGGGCGTGTCGCCTGAGACACCCTCACCAGCTATGACCCTGAAGCTTCAAAAAAGGGCAACAGCTTCAACGATGGAGGGCGGGTCGTTTTCAAAATGTGACTCTCGTCTTAGCGCCGCGCGCATTCGCTTTAAACATTTGCAAAAGCTCCACGGATTGACAGCAGGTGGTTTTCAAATGTGGCTATCGCCTTAGCGCCGCGCACATGTCTTCTAATAGATGCGAGGGTTCCACTGATTGAGGGCGGGTGATGTCAAAAATGTGGCTACCGCCTTAGCGCCGCACACATTCGTTGCAATAGATGCGAGGGCTCCACTGACTGAGGGCGGGTGATGTTCAAAATGTGGCTCTCGCCTTAGCGCCTCGCAACTTCGTTCTGCAAATTTGCAAGAGATTCGCGGATTGAGGGCGGGGTGTTTTCAAGATGTAGCTCTCGCCTTAACGCCGCGCACACTCGTTTTAAACAGTTACAAGAGATTCACGGATTTAGGGCGGGTGGTCTTCAACATGTGGTTCTCGCGTTAGAGCCGCGGAACTTCGTATTAAACGTTGCAAGGGTTTCACGGCTTTAGTGCGGCTACGTTTCAAAATGTGGCTCTCGCCTTCGCACCGCGCACATTCGTTTTCTTTGTTTACTGTTCGCAAGAGTTTCGCAGGTCCTATGATCAGCGTACCCAAAAGAGTGTTCTGGATGGCTTCAGGATTATGAAGATGGAACAGTTTCATCCGCGGTGTTGAATTCCCAAGAACGGCGTTCTGGCGCGATTCATGATCGTCAAGACGCAATAATCAGGTTGATCCGTGGCGTTGGAATCCCGAGAACAATGTGTTGGTATGCTTCAGGGCTTCAAGCGGATGTCTTCCAACGAGACAGCTCCCTCAGTGGAAATGGACCGTCGTATGGGACCTATGGAGAGGGAGCTTGGAGGGAGGGTTGATTCCAACATCGTTGATGAGTCTTGGGTTTACACTGGTCCTCCTCCTCCTTCTCCTATTCCCCCTCCTACTTCTCCCCCTCCTCTTCCCTCTCCTGGTTCCTGGTTCCTGGTGGCTGCATGGTCGTGCTGACGAAGCCTCCCTTTCCCCCCCCTCCTCCTCCTCCTCCTCCTCCTCCTCCTCCTCCTCCTCCTCCTCCTCCTCCTTTTCCTCCTCCTCCTCCTCCTCCTCCTCCTGGCCTCGATCCTCGGGCCTCGAACGTCGATCATCCTCTTGCCCCTCCTCCCCCTCGTCTTCCTCGTCCTCAGAGGTGGTCCGAGGTCCCCCCTCACCCTCCTCAAACCCTCTGGATGTCCTTCTCCCGCTCCCACCTGCTCTTGCGCGTCCTCCTGCTTCCTCGGCTCCCTCACGTCCTCCTCCTCCTCCTCCTCCTCCTCCTCCTCCTCCTCCTCCATTCCTTCTCCTTATAGCTACCTTCTCCCTGTCGCACCCCGAGGCCAGTTTCTAGAGCGGGCCGGGCGTTTCGCATGAGAACTCCTCACCACTTATGACTCTGAAGATTCAACATGGACAACACTTTCACATATGGAGGGCGAGTGGTTTACAAAATGTGGTTCTCGCCATGGCGCGGCGCACATTCGCTTTCACAAGTTGCAAGAATTTCACATATTGAGGGCGGGTCGTTTTCAAAAAAGCGGCTCTCGCCTTAGCGCGGCGCACATTCATTTCACAAGGTTGCAAGGGTTCCACAGGTTAACTGCAGGTGGTTTTCAAAATGCGATTCTCGCCTTAACGCCACGCACCTTCTTTGTTTCAGAATTCACATAAGTTTCACGGGTTGAGGGCGAATGGTTTGAAAAATGTGGCTCTCGCCTTAGCGCCGCGCGCATTCGTTTTCAAAAATTTCGAAGGTGTCACTGATTGAAAGCGAGTGGTTTCCAAAATGTGGCTCTCGCCTTAGCGCCGCGCGCGTTGTTTTTCAAAAATTGCAAGGGTTTCACGGATTGAAGGCGGGTCGTTTTCAAAATGTGGCTCTCGACTTACCGCCGCGCAAATTCGTTTCCAAACTTTGCAAGGGCTTCACGGGTCGAGGGCGGTTCGTTTTCAAACTGTGGCTGTCGCCTTCGCGCCGCGCACATTCTTTTTCAACATGCGCAAGAGTTTCATGGGTTCCCATGATCAGCGTACCAGAAATGGTGTTTTGGACAGGTTCAGGATTCTCCGGGCGCCAGTTACGTTGATTCTCTGTGTGAAGTTCCAGGAATGGCGTTCTGGCACGATTCAGGATCGTCAAGACGCAACAATCAGGTTGATCCGTGGCGTTGGAATCCCGAGAACAATGTGTTGGCGTGTTGGCATGCTTCAGGGTCTTCAAACAGGTGTCTTCCAACGAGGCAGTTCCATTCATGACTCCAACATCGTTGGCGACTCTTGTGTTTACACTGGTCCTTTCCCTCCTCCTCCTCCTCCTCCTCCTCCCTCCTCCTCCTCTTCCTCCTCCTCCTCCTCCTCCTCTTCCTCCTCCTCCTCCTCATCCCCCTCGCTCTCCTCCTCGTAATCAAAGTCTTCCTCCGCATCCTCATCCTCCTCGTCGTCTCTGGCTCTTCGCAATCCTTCTGCCCACCTC